AGGTAACTATGATTTTAAAACAAAAGGTCACAAAAATAAAGTCACAAAAAATTTTAATAAAAAGAATCGTAACATTACCAAAAAATAATGGTGTGAGAAAATTAATTAGTGATTTTAGAAATTTTAAGACTGTTAGAATGCTAAAGTTGTCAATCATCTCCTAACTAATACTCTCGAAAAAAAAATCTTGATCCACCACAAATTGTGAATCCATAAAAACATAATAATGCACCAATGAATCGATGTGAAAGATAAAAATCGCAGCAAAACGATAAAAAGAGTGAGACAAAAAAAAATACAATCAAGCATCAATTATTTCCTTCAAACAATTTAAGGTTCTAACGAAATAAAACACAAAAATGCATTCCAACGTCTCTGTTGAGATGATGCAGATGTCTGAGTGACGAGAAGGTTTCTTCCATACAAATAAAACATAACCAAGCTAACAACCTAACTCATGATTCAGTTGCAGCAAGTGAAAGAGTTCGAACACAGAGAAGGCAAGGACCTAGAGTACTAGACCAAAGAGTATTTTGGTTAATCTAAAGCGTAAAAAAAGGTTTGGATATGTTGCTCTAAACTAATCAGAAATGTAACAATACTGAGAATGCACAAAACAGAGATGTGAAGATGTATGCAATGATAATGGAAGGTATCAAGTATCGGATTAGCAAATGATGAGAATCAACAGATTGCGGCTAACAAAACCAGGACCTTTAACCAGTAAGCTCAACTCTTAAGCATGGGGCACGAATATAGGTCATCCCACTTTCGTGACGCTACTAACCACTATGTCGAGTCCAAACATCTAATGAACTTTCGCTACTAGATATAAGTACTCTCCAAACTTAAAGATCAAGCCCCAATAAGCTCACTTAGCTCCTCTACACACTTTCGTGGTCAAAGGATCACTAAGCCGAGCAAAAGGTCGGTCCGGCATTCTGACAAATACCTTTTGGACAACGGATCAGGACGAGATTCAAGGCCAGAGCCAAGAACCAAGCTTTATCCACAACCTAAGCTCGAGAAATGTAATACGCAGGCCGAGGTTAAGTTAGCCGTTTCTCTAAAGCTTCTACATCTACTAACCCGACACTCGACAAGCGGACAACTCACTCATTGCTACGGGAAAAACCATGATTGAGCTCAAGTGAGGTACGAATGATGTGATGTAAAGATAATTGTGATTAACAAGTAAAGACTGAAACTTTAAACTAAAGACTGAAACTTTATAACAAAAATAACTTAGAACATCAAGATCTGATGCTCTAAGGGTCGATTATAACTAAACGTAAGT